GTTTGCAATACAGCACGAGAAAGAACTAGCAACAGTTGTAGAAAACCTCAGGAAGGCCCAGCATAGAATGATAGAACAGGCTAATAAGCACCGTCGCCCGTCGCAGTTTCAGGTAGGCGACCTAGTCTGGGTCAAGGCAAAAAAGTTTGCACCTGAATAAAACATCTCACAGAAGTTACTGCCTGCATATAGAGGACCGTGGCCGGTTCTAGAAGTCAAGGGCGGAGAGGATGGACCGTCCTACACTATAGAAATCCCATACACCTCCACACATATCCTGTGTTCCACGCTTCAAAGACGTTGCAGTGTGTCACAAGCCAACAATTCCCTTCAAGAAGATCCATGATCCCTCCGGATATGGACGGAAATTGTAGACGAGGATGTGTTTAGAACAGGAGGTAGAGGTCGTCCCCAGAAGCAGTATAAGGTCCGGTTCGCCCATCAGGAACCGGAAGACGACCGCTGGTTCACAAGAACAGAACTTCTAGAGACAGCTCCCGACATAGTCAGAGCCTACGAGCGTGACAGGAAAGGTAAAGGTCCCGCCTTGGACTAAGATGTTCTCGAAGGACCTCGAATTTAGGACGGCGGGAGTGAAACGGTTTTCACCTTTTAGCAGTAGCAGGTGCAGTGCCCAGGGCTCGATCCCTAGACCTCACCCTACCCATGTACAGTATCTGTGTAGAACCCGAGAGTTGAACCTGTGACCTGTGTATTCGTAGACAGTTGGTAGATCTGTCATAGGTCCATAGGCAGCAGGGGTTCGATCTGTAGACTTATGGAGTAGAAGTCTTAGTGAGTTCCAGAAGCTTAGCTGTAGTCCTTCTAGAAGGTAGGCAAGTGGGCAAGTGGGCAAGTGGTCAAGTGGCGAGGCAAGTGGTGGACTAAACTGCAGTGCAATTGCAGTACGACGACGGTAGGATAGCAGTGAGTCCACAGTCAGTCAGCGGTAAGGTCCAGTCAGTCCCAGTCCGGTCCAGCAAGTACCACGGGGGACGGTGAGCACCATGGGCCGATGGCAAAGGGCAGACCAATGAGCTTCTGAAGTATAAATCAAGAGGCAGCGCCCAGCCTTTCATTCATTCCTGCGTGAGCCATGCGGAAGCGCTGCCACAGCGACTTGTGCAAGGAGGTCTGCAGATAAGCCCGGAGGACGCAGTGGGTGAGAGAGAAGGAGCTTAGTATAGCGATAGGTTAGAGGCAGCCATAGCTGCCATAGCTGTAGTTAGTAGGAAGTGTGTGTGTGTGTGTTCGAGTGTTCAGAGTGACGTGTGTGGGATATCCAGTGTGATCCGGAGTGTGTGAACAGGGAGTTGTTTGGGCGCAGAGTCGCCATAGCCAGTTGAAAGTGAACTCGTACCTGGAAGCCATATCTCTGAGTTTTGAGTGGGCGCATGTCGCCAGTTGCTGTGTTGCTGTTTACATGCATGAAAAGTGTGAATGGGTACGAGTCTGCTTGCATATTGCCGAGTTCTGAAAAATATGTACCAGGGAGAGGCGCCGGACCCAGGGCTGCTATGTTTGTGCTGAGCACAAGGTACACACCTGGCCAAGATGCACCGCAGCCTTGGTGTCATGACCAGAAACAAATGCTATGTTTCCACAGAGGGATTGAAATTTAAAGTAGGTCCACGTAATAATTGATCAAAACTTCACAACTTGAAGATGGAGCGGGTGGTAACAGGGCTACTTGGGATTGGGATGGTTCCTATCCCCCTCGCAAGCAGTCTCTGTCTAGCCTTCAGAAAAAAAAAAAAAAAAAGAGGCAAGTACATTGGAGTCACACCTGACATTCAGAATTTTAGGCAACTTTCTTTAGCAGTTTCCGAAATGCAGTGGAGCAAAAAAGGCGACCCACCTAAATCTGCCAAAAGGGCCACTGCGGGTAATGACTGGTGCAGTTTTAGACCCCCCCGCTAAACTTGCACAATTCGAAAATCACATCATGACATCAGCGCCACTTTTGTCTTTTGTTGCCCATTTCAAACTAAAAGTGCGCCACAGCCGCAGTTTCCCCCCCAAAAAAAGGATCAATACTTGGTGAGCGACACAACCTTCTGATGCCTATATTCTGTTCAAAACCAAAGTGCATGATTTGAGTAAGTGTTGCTTCTTTCCGCCAAACGTGTTCAGCAAAGAGCATGCGGCACTGCAACTATTCGGAGCACTAAATGAGGAAGGCTGTGGTACTACACTCCATGGCTATGGCCGCTCAGGTCAAGCTCCATCCTGTTGAATTGTTTAGGACTTTGTTCGACTGGTACCAGGAGTGCCACTTTCCTGTCGTCTTTTGAGACCTTCCCCTGTTCCCCTGTTCTTCTTCTACTACTTTCTCCTTGCCCCCCTCTCCCTGCCTCCTCCACGTGCTCCTCTCCTTCTTGCCCAGGTCTCTGTCTTCCTCTTCTCCTTGCCTTGTCCTCTCCTTTTTCCCAGGGTGTCCCTCGCTCTCTTTACCCGTGTCTGAAGACTGACGTTGATTGGTCTGAGTGGAAGAGTGCTCTGTACGATGAAAAAACTTGCTAGTAACGTGATTGCTGGTTGCGACATGTTCTTTTCTTAGTACCTTTTTCTTTGTCCTTAACGTGTGTTCTATCTTCATTGCTGTGTGCTTTGGCACAAATATTCCGGGAAACAATACAATGCCCGCAACTTGCTGCATGCTTTGGCACAAATATTCCAGATTCTGAAAAATTGCACGCGAATTATCTGATGTCTGTCTAAGCAATGGCAACTTTCAATTTGATGATTTGAATGATTCGTTACAGCCATGAAAGTTCCAACTTCCAACTGTGCAACCAGAGGGGGAAAAATGATGTATAGACTTAAGGCAAACAAGTGCCCAACAGAAAGAACAGGTCAGCTATGAAACCTCGCCAAAAAGAAAGTACAGAAGGCGCGAGGCACAAAAGAAACGTTGTGAAAAAGGAAATAAGAACAGAGGGCGCGAGGCAAAAAAAGAGTTTGGAGAGGAAGTCGAGGAGGACGTTCTCTCATTATCACGCGGGGCGCATAGTCTAGGGTTTCTCCCATAGCCTCGCGGAGCTTAGCCACCATGCCCCGGGTCACTCAGAGCGGGGGAGGGGGGTGTCGAGCTTTTGCACTTGCATTTCCGGCACCCTACCTGTCCAAAAAGCTGGCTTGTATACATTGCCGGAACTGCAGTTCGAAACTGTACCTTGGTCCATAGTGCAATTGTTACTCTTTTCGTGACTCCCGCATAGTTTCCCTTTTTTTTTTTCTTCATCTTCTTTGGGGGAGTTAAATTTTCTCTAAGACCCCCCTGAAAAGGAGATATTAAACCCCCCCCATCTTTATTTTTTATTTTTTTTTGGCAGGGGGCCCGGGGGCCAGCCTGCACAGGCGGTGCGGGGTTATATTTTTTCTAAGACCCCTCTAAAAAGGAGATATTACCCCCCCCCCCCCCCCCSCAWACCCACACACTTTTTTTTTTTTTTTTTTGACAGGGGGGCTGGGGGGCGACCTGCACAGGCGGCACGCACGGCCCGAATCTCCGGCGCGCGGCTCCACCTGGTCGTGGCGCGGCCGTGAGTAAACTCGGTCATGCGGCCTAGGCCGCTGGGTTGCAGCTGGCCTCCACGGCCGCGGGATCCGCGGCCAAGGGTGCCACGTAGAGCAAAAGAGATCGTAGGGAGATATCAGAGTGGCAATCTCAAGCGCTCCATCTGCAGGCTACTCATCAATGAACATGATTCAAAAGCAAACAAGTCCCTTCCTCCCCAACAGAAGGAAGCATGGGTCATGTGAAAAGGTGCTTCTAGGGGTGTGCGCAAAAAAGTCAGCACGACCAGTCAGGCCGCCACCCCACTAGTAGGATACAGAGATAGATCCAAATCAATTCAAATCATCACTCTTTCGACTACCTTTTTAGAAGGGAAGAACTTCACAAAAGGATTGTGCACACAAAAGTATTACAGATGCAGATAGCAATCGGCACCTACAGGCTTCCATGCAAGCGGAAGAGTGTAACGACCGCACAGTCCTTTGGGCCAGGGATCAGAGAGTGAAGCATCCTCCTCCTACAAGCGAGCCACATTCATTCAAATGGACGATCAGAAAAATAGAAAGAAAACTTCATTAGGCGTACGTCATTCCATTCTCTGAGAAATGCAGCCTCCGAAAATGATTATCCAAGGAAATCCACACAAGCCAGCCATCAAGGCTTGGACACTCAGGCACTTACAGAAGAGCGATCAACAGTTGCATGCATCTAGCAAGTGGAAGAGCGTAACAGGAATCCGATGAGCACATCATCATTCCTTTGCTCAGTGAGCAAAAATGGCGCCACCTTCTCATTTATAAGGTAATAAACAACGATTCTATGGGTTCATGCAACATAGTCGATGACATACATACCCATCCATGACTCATATATAGGAACGAGCGAGACAACTTAAAGAAGAGAGAGTCATGAGATCAAAAGGAAGAAATGACGTCCTCGCCATGCACAGCCTCCACTCAGAATTACATGAACCAATGAAGGGAAGCAAATTACCCCACTCTCACACACGTGGCACCTCTACCAATGACCACGGTCTCCTTACCCTTGCGCGAGCGCCGATGATCCCGGTGGCCGCATACCCAACAACTTTCAGCGATCGTCACCCCGTTAATCCAACTTTTGCGCTGATCCGCCCAGATCCTACATTTCGGCGTAGCTATCTGGCGTGCAATAACGGATGATTAGTGGAGACAATTGTGTTTAAGCTTTAGACTCTCCTAGCTTGATGCTCAAGCGATCTCCACGTTCTTCTTGTGATTTCCGAGTTTTACTAGCATGATTCAATTTCGATCATTTTCTACTAGTATTGCTCACCCTTAGTAATCTTGTTGTCATTCTGATACTGATTCTAAAAAATAGATATAATACCATTTAAATTGAGTCCAAGGGTCTCGTTAGACACTCCTAAAAGGATCCTAAAATTTTTAGGACGATTCCTATTAGTAAATGTTTTTGAGGATTTAGTGCGGCGTCGTTACACGCAATCTTAAAAATCTTCTTTTAGGATTCGTCCTAAAAGGTCTCCCGCGGCCGTTTTTCATATGCGTATACGCAGCCGCGCCGCCGATGTCCGTTCATTCCTGGCTGGTGTCCGTGGTACACACTGCAGTGGCCCTTGGGTGGGTGAGGACGGGTCGGTGAAAAGCGCGGTCACCCAAAACTTCGAAAATTCAAATTCGAATTTTCGCGGACGCAGGGTGGGGGGGGCGGAGGACGGCCAGGTGACACGTGTGACGTAGAAAAGACGGTGCTGGCGAACCTTTTGGCGTGGGTATCCATCTTTCGAGTCTATGCAAGTTGTGAGCAGCGGGCGCATCTTCCTGCAAGGCGCATCTTCACCTCCGGCGTGCGTACTTTCCTGTGGAAGCGTAGAGCAGCGGGCGCGTCTTCGGCTCCGGCGTGCGTCATCTCCTGTGGCAGCGTACAGCAGCGGGCGCATCTTCGGCTCCGGCGTGCGTGGTTTCCTGCGGCAGGGTTGATCAGCGGGCGTGTCTTCGGCGGCTGTGGCAGGCGTCACGCTGTAGATGCGGAACGATTGTCAAAGATGGACGTTCGCGGCTGCGGGCACAGTCTACGCGAAGAAGAGATCGACGCAGTGGCGATGGCGGTGACTGCCGTCGTCGTCAACACGATGAGCGACATGTCGTCGTCCTCACGCGACATGGTGATGCAGCTCCGCAAACGAAGAGCGCTGTTGCAGAGCGTTGCCGAAGCGTCGGATTGCTTGGCCACGTGTGAGGCAGTCGTCCAGTTGTGTGTCGCGCTGTCGTCTGGCGTTTTCCCGCGGCAGACCCCGCGTTGGTGGATTAGACGACGGACTGGCGGAACATGGGAGGACCTCCGCCTGTGTGATGATGTGACGGACGAGTACTACCGGCAGAAGTTGCACATGTCGATGGCCATGTTCACCCAGATCGTAGCCGCGTGCGCCGCGTACGTGGAGAAGAAGGTCACACACTACAGGATGCCATTGCTAGTGGAGCAGGTGATCGCTTTCGCATTGTACAGGTGGGCGTCCGGAGAGATGTACGAGAGCGGCACTTCAGCCTTCGGCATCGGCAGGGCAACTGGACTGCAGGCCGTCCGCGACGTCACTTCGGCGTTGCTGCAGGCATACCCCGACGCGATAAAGAGGCCAGTGGGCCGTAGACGTGCGCAGATTCTGCGTGGCTTTCGTGGGAAGGGTTTCCCAAACTGCTTCGGCGCAATCGATTGTACACACATCTACATTGACAAGCCCGTCGGTGCACCTTCGGCCAACTACTACGACCGAAAACAAAAGTTCTCCGTGAAGGTGCAAGTGGTGGTGGATTTGGATTTGTGGGTCCTCGACGTCCACGTCGGATACCCGGGAAGTATGCACAACGTCCGTGTCTTGCACAATTCCCAGTTGTGGGGGCGTGCAGAAACTGGCGAGCTGTTCAACGCACCTTCGGAGAATCTGCCGCACGGTGTCGCCACACGAGGTTACCTGCTGGGCGACAACGGTTGTCCAGTTGCCTGTCCATGGATCGTGCAGCCGTACAGAGGAATCGACCAAGGTCCTGACGAGGAGCGCTTCGACACGAGGCAGAAGGTGGTGCGGGGATGTGTGGAGAGGGCATTCGAGCGACTGAAGTGCATGTGGCGTCTGTTCTTGCGCACCCACAAGATGAACCTGGAGACCTTGCCAGAACAATTTGTGCCCGTGTGCACTCTCCACAACATCCTCCTCGACGCGGGGAACGACTTCGACGAGAACCTTTTGTGGGAGGTCGATGCGAACAGCGTTCGGCGTAGAGTGGACTTGGGCATCATAGGGAACGGCGCGGGCGGGCGGCAATGGAGCACGAATGTCGACGGGGACTTGTTGCGGGATGCACTTCGAGACCGCCTAGCTTTGATGTAGGACTGTGTGGACGCTGTCTCTTATACACATCTAGATGTGTATAAGAGACAGGCCATCCAGAGACAAACGGTCAGACTGAACAGATGAACAAGATCCTACATCAAGTTCTGCGCATGTATATTAGACCAGATCAGATCAACTGGGAT